CATGAAAGATTACTGATTACAGTTGGACTACTACCAAGATCTTAAGATGCCTTGAGTGAGGATGCAGTGATCCTTCAAAAATTCGTTGAGCGAGAGAGGATCTTTGAGTTTTTCGTAGGACTTGAAAATGAGTTTGTGAAATTCAAAATCAAGTATTAAGCAGAGAAAATCTCCATTCTCTAAATGAAGTATTCTTCTCATTCGAGCAGACGAAGGAAGAAGAACGATGATCACCAATAGTCCAACCCTCCAAATATCTATCATGATAACTTTTGAATCCCAAGGTAAGGGACTTACCCTCCTTTCAAAGAAAATTTCAGGTCCAATTACTGTAGAAGGAAAAGGCACATCAAAAATAAAAGCTGAAAACTTCACATAAAACTCCAAAACCATGGAAGAAGTAAAGGCGGAAATAAAAAAGAACAAGCCCGATAATTTTTACTAATATTTGTGTTTTCATTATCTCACCACGAGGAAGATGATTGAACAAGCTAGAGAAAGGGATGGGTTATACTTTCTTGAAGATCAAGATCAACTATCATACTCTTTTACATCTCATACTATTGACAACAGCTGAAACCTATCATTATAGATTAGGACATCCTTCTTTTAAAAATCTTCAACGTATGTTTCCATTGCTTTTTATTAATGCAAACATTAAAAATTTATATTGTAAAACTTAAAAAATTACTAAATATGACTTTCCTTTCCTAAAAATAACTCTAAAACTTCTTGTCCTTTTGTAATGATTTATTTTGATATATGATGACCTTCTAAAAATACTCAATATACCTAAATTCACTGATTTAGTTATGTTTATTGATGATAACACTCGAATAACATGGGTATATTAAATTAAACAAAAATTCATTGTTAGTTCTATACTTCCTATATTCACTACCATGATAAAAACCAATTTAACTCAAAAATCAATTTTTTTGGACTGATGATGCTAATGATTATTTTAATCACACGAGCATCATTATTCAAAAAGATGGTATTATCCACCAATTTTCATGCTCTGACCCTCCCCAATAAAATAGAGTGACAGAAAGTAAAAATCAACTTTTGGAGGTAATTAAGACACTTCTCCAGCCCAACCAAATACCAAAACAATAATAGAGAGAAGTTGTTCTAACAGCTACCTATTTAATCAATAGAATACCCTTAAGAGCAATTGATTTTAAAAATCCATTACATTACTTGAGAAATTTTTTTCCTGCGAACAACTTCTCAAATATCCATCAAAAAATTTTTGAATGCATTGTTTATGTTCATATACATAAACAACCTGGAAAAATTTGATCCAGAAGTTCTCAAATGCATATTCATTAGATATTCTGTCACACAAAAAAGGGCACAAGTATTATCTTCTGCCCACAAAATTTTTTTTTAGTTTAATGGATGCCACATTTGATGAAACTCACAACTTCTTCAGTCAATCTCATCTTCAAGGTTAGAATTTTCATCTTGATAAATTTGATAATATTTTTCATCATGACATTCATGCAATAAAAAATCTTTCAAATACAAATCTTATACCATCCCCCTTCAGGTTTACACAAGAAGAAACAAGCCCAACAAAGATCTCAAACAAGTTCAAAACTCATAATCGTTACCATGTAACACAACTCAAACCACTATCACTCATTTATATCACATTTCTCAATATAACACATTCAAAAATTCTCTTAATCTCATAATTTTTTTTCTAATCAACATCAATACCAAGCATATTTTCATTCCACAAACTCAATTTGAGGCACTTAAAAAAAAGTTGAAGGAGGCCGTGGAGAAGAGATGAATGCCTTAGAAAAAATTCATACATGGGAGAACAGGAAAGAAGACAATAGAATACAAATGAATTTTCATAGTGAAACACAAGACAGATGTGAGCCTAGAAATATGTCAAGTAAAATTAGTAGCGAAAAAATATACTCAATAATATGGGATTGACGACCAAGGAACTTTTACTCATATTGCAAAAATGAATATTATTCGCATTTTAATATCCCTAGTAAAAATTATGGGTGACATATATGACAATATGCTGTAAAAAATGCTTTCTTACATGGTGATATCGAAGAGGTTTATATGGATCCACCATAAGGATTTAATTTCTTTTTTAAAAATAATCAAGTATGCAAATTGAAAACAAAAACATATATAGACTAAAACAATCATCAAGAGCATGATTTGATAGATTTTCAAAAGCTATAGAAGAAGCTGGAAACAAACAGAGTCAATGTGACCAAACTTTCTTTCTAAAATACTCTTTTGATGGAATCTCAATTCTTATAGTGTATGTTGACGATATGATTATTACAGGAGTTGAAAATCAAGAAAAAGAAACTCTCAGAAAAAGTCTTGCTTAAGAATTTAAAATTAAAGAGTTGGGAAAACTAAAATACTTCGAAATAAAAGTGACTCAATCTAAAGAATGTATATTTCTCTCCTAACAAAAATATGTTTCGAATCTGTTGAAAGTGACGAAGATGATAGAGTGCAAACCACGTGAAACTCCAACTAAACCAAAACAAAAATTGAACCTTGATGAAGGAGCTGATGTAAATATGAGACAATATCAAAGATTAGTGAAAAAATTAATGCACATGTCTCACACTCACTCTGACATCACATTTGTAGAAATTTTAGTTAATAAATTAATGCACAAACATAAAGAATCACACATTCAAGTTGAAGGATACATAGTTGCAGTTTATGGGGGAACACCGATGGATAGGTCTGCTTTAAGGTATTGTACATTCTTAGAAGGAAATCTTATAACTCAGAGAAACAAGAAACAACCTGTGATTTCAAGAAACAAGATCAAGTGCTGAAATTGAGTTTAGAGCCATTACATAGGAGATTTGTGAGCTTCTATGGGTTAAAAATATATTAGAGAATTTAAAAATCAAATAAAAAAAGCCTGAAAGTATATTGTGGAAACAAATTAGACATCAATATTGCACGCAATCTTATACAATATGATCGTAACAACCATGTTAAAATTGATAGGCACTTTATAAAAAAGAAATTAGAAAGAAAATAGATTTATACTTTATATCTGTCCACAAGAAATCAACTGGTTGACATATTCACTGAAGAACTCTGCAACCCACAATTTAAAAATATGAGAAGCAAACTTGGAATGATAGATCTCTAACATCCATTTTGAGGAAGCGTTGACTTTCTACTCTAATAATAACAAAAAATTTAAGGCATAAGAATCAAGGCTTTGTACCGTGAGATCAAAACACATGGATCAAGGTCCTGCACCTTCAAATTAAGACACAGATCGAGGGTCTATATCATTATATCAAAGCACACATATCAAGGCTTTATATTGTTAGATCAAGGCACACAAATTATAATCAGTGTGCTTTCCTATAAGATCATTGTCTCTAATTATTTTCCCTCTTTTTTTATTTATTCTAATTTTGTAATACCTCTGGGAGTTGTATATATACCTCCCCTCTTGTAAAAAAAAGAATATAAAATTTCTTGAGAGTATTTCTCATTACGTATTTTCTATAGAAACTAACTTAAAACACACATAACATAACCACACACAATTAGTTCAATGATAAAAAAGATCTAGATTAATCTACTTCAACCAATAATCAGATAATAATATAGCGAGTGTCAATATGTCCAATATGATATTTACCAACTCAATATAATATTGACATTAATCTCAAAAGAGGTGCTCAAAAACTTACCCACAATATTAAGAAAAACTGATATAGCTAGCTTAAAAATCTCAACATCTGATTGAATTAGAACAAGTTTACCCTAAAATATGGAGGATTGTTTGTGTTAAAGATCTAATCATTGATGAAAAGGCAAAGGACACTAGGTAGGTGAAGCCCTTAAAAAATCCGAAAGCCATCAATTTTCCCAACAATATCAGTAAAGGACCAAGGAGTGCCATTAGTAGAAGAAATTGTGACTTTAAGGACCCTAATGGCAAGAAGATGGACCAAGATGTTAGGCACTATAATTGAAGTAGGAGCACTTAAGATGCAAAGAGCTCTCGGGGAAGGAGAACACAACATAATTGAGGTTTCAGTTAAAACTATAGGAGCAACCAATATTGGAAAAATAGGAGATGAGATCCATGGAGAAATTAGCACCAAACGAGAAGGATTAAAATCAAAGATAAAAATGTAACTGAAGCATCATCCACAGTCAATGAAAAAGAACAAGTATGACAACGCAAACAAGATGAAAAGCATAACCAATAAAAACTAAGAAAGCATTTTTGGATGGTAAAATAGATTCCTCGTGTGCAAGGGTGATCAAGAGCAACAACCCTACCGAAGCTAAATCATAAGGCATCAATAAAAGATTGGGCTAATGTTGACAGCACCAAGCCAAACCATGTAGAGCTAAACAAAGAGCGTGAAGCGCGTAGGTTATAGCCAAGCGAGGATGGCAAGCGCAAAGATCGCACACAACGACAATAAGTTTGAATGATACCGGAGTTAATCCAAACAACAATGGAACGATTATATTATTGATGAAATTCAAATAAGCAGTTACAAACAACCAACGGAAAGATGCAGCAATAAAGGCAGACAAACACCAAACTAGGGTTGAATCAAAGGTGGTCAAAAGGCAACAACAAGGTATGTGAGGTGGCTGGCGACTTCGTTGTAGCAAGAAAAGGGGGATTGTTGGTAGAGTTGAAACAAGTAAGGGGATGGCAGGTAAGGGGCAAGCAATGTGGCGGCAAGGCTGGTGGTAGGGAAACAACGGCAGGCTGGGAAGATTAGCGGCAGGGAAGGCTTGCGGCAGGGAAATAGTAGGTTGGGAAGGCTGGCAGCAAGGACGTAGCAACCAAGGAAGCTAGCGACATGAAAATGACAGACAGGGCAAGCTGGTGGTAGAGACACAGTAGTCAAGGTTACGGCAACAAGCCGATGGCTGGAATAATGGCGATGGAAGCAGGAAGCAATTGATAAACACCATCTCAGTAAAATTCATAGTCGAAGTACCTTCTCACCTTCGGATATAGCTCTATGAGGGAGAATTAGAGACATTGTTGCCTGGACTGACAGCAAACACGAGAAAAACTAAACATACAACACAAAAGAAACATATAAATACTATTATGCGACAAATGAGTCGTCCACTTCTGTTGGGCAACAAATCCCGACCCCCCCCCCCCCCCAAAGAGGGCAGTCGAGCCTCCCTTCCCCCATCTGAACAGGTCCAACTGGCCATAGGTCATGGTCGGTTCAATCTTTAAGTGTGTATAAGTATCATGAGGTTGGGGGAGTTTCGATCTCATTCATCTAAGTTTCGTGTCTTTGTAGAATGGATTCAAATCTGCCACATTGAAGGCAGCAGAGATGTTGTAATCCCCCGATAAATCAAATTTTTATGTGTTGTCATTCAACTTCTTGAGGATTCTGAAAGATCTGTTTGCTATGGACTTGAGTTTCTCAAATGACCCTTTTGAAAATTTCTCTTTTTCAGTCTGATCTACACTAAACCTACCCCTTTTGTCTTCTTTCTGGGTTTGTTAACTTGCACCTTTTACTTGTGACTCTATTGGGTGATCTCTTTACAAGCCTCCTCGTACAGCCTCTGAATTTCTTGTACTCTTGCCTCAACATCCCCACTGATCTCTGAAATAAGAACTAGTACTAACTCAAGAGGACTGAGAGGATTGCATCCATATGCAACCCGAAAAGATGTGCGCCCAGTAGTCTGGCTCACGAACCTATTGTAGGCAAATTTGGCCTGGGCTGGGAGCATATCTCACTACTTAATGTTCTTTTTGATGAAGCACCTCGAGAGGTTTTGCAGGCTTATGTTCACCACTTCTGTTTGACCATCCATCTATGGGTGGGCTATCGAACTTCAATGAAGCTTATTACCAATCTTTCCCCATAAGGTTTTCTACAAGTGACTCAAGAATTTGGCGTTCCTATCAAATGTGATGGTTCTGAGGATTTCATGCAGCATCATGATCTCTCTGAAGTATAAATCAACGACATGAAATGCATCCAACATCTTGTGACATGACAAAATGAGTCATCTTCAAGAATCAGTCAACCACTACCATCATTGAATTTTTGTTCCACTGCACCTAGGGCTGTCAAAAAAGCTTGTTATTCGTGAACAGTTCGTGTTCGGTTCGTCAATTAGTTCACGTTCGATTCGTTCGATAAATAAACAATACGAACGTGAACCAATTTTTTTTCGTTCGATTAGTTAAAAGAATCAAACACGAACAGTGATGAGTTCGTCGTGTTCGAATCGTTATTGTTCGAAATATAAAATAATTTAAAATAATTATATATAAAAAATTTATGATA